ATATCGGCAATAACATGGCGAATGTTGTCTTCCAAGTGGTTAAGCGTTTGTGGCTTATCCGCATAGACCAACGACTTTACATAGCCCCACAGAAAATAGTCTAGCGGAGTTAAATCACAAGATCCTGGAGGCCAATTCACAGTTCCAAAACGTGAAATTAGGCGGTCACCAAACGTGTCTTTCAATAAATGGATTGTGGCACGAGCTGTGTGACATGTTGCGCCGTCTTGTTGGAACCACAGCTCATGGACATCATGGTTGTTCAATTCAGGAATGAAAATGTTAGTAATCATGGCTCTATACCGACACCATTGAGTGTAACGTTCTGGCCATCATCGTTTTTGAAGAAGTACGGACCAATGATTCCACCAGCCCATAAAGCGCACCAAACAATCAGTTTTTCTGGATGTAACGGTGTTTCGACATAGATTTGAGGATTAGCTTCACTCCAAATGCGGCAGTTTTGTTTGTTGACGTAGCCATTCAACCAGAAGTGGGCTTCATCGCTAAACAAAATTCGCTTATGAAAATCGGGAACACCGGCAATCTCGTTTTGGGCCCATTCAACGAATCTACGCCTTGCTTGGTGATCGTTTGGCTTCAATTCTTGCACGAGTTGGATTTTTTAAGCACGCAAACCAAGATCCTTCCGCAAAATCTTCCATAAAGTGGATGGACACAGATCCAATTCCTGTGCTCGATGGCGGATGGACTCATTCGGGTCTTCCTCAATGCTCTACAGTAGCAATAGCTTTTTCTGTACGCACCGTACGGCATCTCTGGGGATGCGAGTTATCAATTAGAGTGAACGTGGTGTGAAAACGTTCCATGGTTAATCAAATTAACTGCTCTGATGGACGATTTTGTCGATGATAAAATGGACGATACTTATTCCGCACTGAACCATTATTTTCGAAATAAAACTGCACAATTTGCAAGCGTTGTTCAGGCGTGAGTCTATTCATGATGAATTGCCAAACCAAACTGAGAATAAATCACTTGAAGCTGTCAAATCGGTCGCCATCTTCAAAAGTAATGCCAACTTAAAGTTGTTCTATACCTCGAAAAAAAAACACCCGTTACAAAGCCTTATAAAACAGAAGGGATAATACTGCTTGCTGTTTATTTAATAAATAATTCCTCATCTATACTAGCAATTGAATAGCTAAACGCTACGTGGTTACGTCTAGACAGTGGTTATGTTTGATACGATTCTAGCATTGTGCTTGACAATGTCAACTAAAGAAACACCTCCATATGTTAGCCATCTAGATCTACAACATCTCCAATGTTTTAGCAAAATCATTATGCCGCTGATGCAGAACTCAATAAACATTTGTTAAAAAAACTGAGAGTTGACTTCGGAAAATCTCTATCGAAACGAATCTTTAGCCATCAAGATCGCTTTGCAGACTGCGGAATAGGTAAAAATTTGAAGGTGCTAGGTCTGGAGAATATGGTGGCCACTACATCAGTTTCCAATATTTTTTTGTGACTATTATAGAAGTGTGATGACGTAATGGATTATGACTACTCCCTTCCTATTTGTTGATGTCAAGGACATTAGTATATCATTTAACAAATATGACGTTTTATGTGTACCGTGTTTCTCAGTAACGGGAACAGTCTACTTGAGCTTTTTTTCAGAAAAGTCGTAAACCCATTTTACCGGCATACAACATTAATAATCTGGAAGGTGTGCTTTGAATTGTTTGGCCAGGAATTCATGCATTTCATGAATTAAACGTTTCTATTGTTAGAATAATAGAGACTTTGTGAACGAAGCATGGATAATGGGTACTTTGAGCACCACTGCGACTTGAAACAATTAACCTCATAAATTAAACTTCCGAGAAATAAAGGTGTTCCTGTAAGTAAATCTAGAAGTACATTTTAAAAAATCCAAAGTGCCTGCTTATAGTGATTAAAAATAATGGCGAATTAGTTGCGATGTCAAAAGTACAAGTTCATCAAGCCATTTGGAATGCAGCCAGTGATATAGAAGTTTTGAAAATTCCCCATTTTGATTCTATACAATTTTAGTATGCCCAGCGTCACTCACATTAATACAAATCTAGAGAGATCTAGTCTATGTCCAAATTCATCAAGCTGTTAAAATTGTAGCCCGTGAAATACAAGTTTTTAAATTTAATTTCCGATTAAAATCCGTCACATTGATTTTATTAAACTTTAATATACGTAGTGTCACTCGCACTTCTAAGATAAATTCAACAACACCTCATATGTCAAAATCCATCAAGTCGTTTGGACTGTAGCTCAGGGTATAGAATTTTTGTCTACATATATATATATACGTATACACGCGCGAAAAACATAACCCGGCTTCTCAGGCTCTCGGGTGAGAACTAGATATCCGCCTTGTGGTTCAGATATTCTCCAGGCAACCATTTCACTTCCCAGGCAAATAATCGACGAATGATTAAGATCGTTAAAATTTTCGAATTGAGCGGTTTTTATGGAAAATTTTCATTACCCGTAATGAATCTGTTCATTATTCTGAATAACTAAATTCTTCGGTTTAATTAAAGTGAGTTCAACTCTGATATATGCATTTTGTTAAACCGAACATCGATCCATATTATACATTTTTTTGATGGTAGGTATCCCTTCTCTTCTTTCTGAATTTAAAACAAAAAATCGCATCTAGTGCAATATCAATTATCTACTATCAAAAGATTTCAAAATATTTTTATATCTTTGATTTGTCAGAGCACAATTATAATATATCCATCATTGAGTAAAATGCAGTTTGTTTTTTTACATTCAAATAAAATAATGTAAGTCTAGGGAAATACTATTGAACAAATTTAATAAATATGATTAAATTGTTTTGCTTGGAAAAACCCATGTTAATAGCTCATTACTTATAAATAAATGTATGTACTTACTCAATCTAAGTAAACGGTTTATTTATTTAATGAAAGGTGTGCGTTTTGATTTAAAAACTCGTCTGTCACCCTCGTCATTTCGTTGGTTTGTTGGTCGTCCCGGAATCCTTGACCCCTCCATAACAAGAAAAGTCACATTTGCATTTTACTAAGGGTTTTCCAAAAGATTACTGCTACGAGCCCCTTCCCACTTCAGTTAGCCCACTTCAAGATTTTTACCAAAATATCCCTTTATAAACTAAACATGACGAAACTATTTACTTCTAAAACAATTTATTTTCTCAAAAACATTTTAGATACACTCTAGTCGTGAAAAATACATATTTGAAATCACTTAGACCTATAACTAATAGAACATCTGAACAAATAAACAATGTGCGAATAAATGCGCGAAGTTAACAAAGCAACAAGTGAAAGATTACCATTGAGTAACATCACCTTTATTTTTTATTGCGGCTGAAATTCTTTGGGGCATACAGGTAGTGTTAACTAAGTTTTAGCAAAAATTTAGTGTAAAACAATCCCATATTTCTTGAAGCTTTTGTCTCAGTTCGGTGATTGTACGAGCAGGATGTTGTCGTAGAACCTTTTTCATCTCGTGCCACAAAGTTTCAATAGGTGACAGATCTGGACTGCTAGAAACCCATTTCAAAAGTGGTACATTATTTTCTTCCATCTATTTTATAGCCTTTTTTCTAAAATTGCCAAATATTTGTTTGTATCCACATTTCCATCAATAAAATGAAGTTCTCCTACTCCTTTTGATGACATAGTGCCCCAGACCATAATAAATGCTGGAAATTTCACTTTTCTCTTCAGACAGTCAACATGGAATGCTTCATTTTTTTGCGAATAACTCTACTGCGACTGTCACCAACACAAACTTCGAATCGGCCCTCCTCACTCCATTGTATTGCACACCATTGTTGAGGTGTCCATTGACTATGTTCTTTAGCCCAACTAAGCCGATTTTTCTTTTGCAGTGGAGTTAATAGTGGCATTTCTTTGGCCTATAAACAGGTTGTGCAACTTTAGGGTTTTTCCTTCACTTTTTTTATAAGAAAACTTACCTTGCAAGTGCTAAATTCCTGTTTGTGGGCCTCTCTATGAGTCACTCCACAGAGCACTTAATTGTAAATAATTGGCAAGCCTGTTTTTCACGATTATTCTTCTTAATGCTCTTCGGTCGGCATTTGTGATATTACTTTTTTTCACATATCGTGGCTTAATATTAACTGTACTAGTTACGTTATATCTTCTAACAATATTTCTCACACTGTACAGCGATAAGTCTAACAAAGTTGCAATTTCTGAGTTTGATTTCCCAGAATTAAAAAATTTAATTATCAGTAACCGAATTTTCTCACTAATAACCTTTCCTCTACCCATTTTGAAAACCTTAACTACCCGAAACTATTTTAAACGTATTCCGACAGCTGTGATTAATAAAAACAACATGGCTTTTGTTTTTCACAGCCACCTATGGGTTATAGACTTATTTTGCATTGAAATGAAAATAGGTTGATATGTTGTAATTGCAAAATGTGTTATTTTTATGCTGCAAATTTGATTAGAGAGTGATAAAGTTGGTGTTTTCTACTATAAATTATCAAAATATTCATTGTTAATATTTTATACCTCTAACACCCTGCTACATTTTTATTTTTTTCGGTTTGATAAGAAAAATCTAAGATTTCAATAGTTGGGCCAACTGAAGTGGGAAGCGAGTCGTATAACAAGGATGTAGGTTTTGGAAATCGGTTTTTGACGATGGATAAAATAATCCTAAAACTAATAATGTTTGGAAGGTACTACTTAGATTTTGATGACTGCTGGTACGCACAGGCGTTAAATTGCCGTCCTTGTTGGAACAGTTTTGGGAGAGCTAATAGGGGTGAAGAAAAATCCAATTTAATTAAGCATCAAGTCAATCTACTTGACTCAGGATAGAGGTTATTGAATGCATTTTAGAACAAGGAAGATAAGTGGTGAGTTATTCGAGCAGAGTGTTAATTCAAAACTACAATTAATTTGTTTTTGCCACAGTGTCGTAAAACAATCCATCCCAAGCTGTCAGCTTTGAAAACTCACCAATTTCTTCGTTCTTCTGATACTGCTTCCTAGCTCATCTCTCACAAACGTGGCAGCTCCTATATCCAAAGTTCCCCAAGCATCCATTGTGTTGTTTGTTGTCTTTCACTTGAAGCACTACAGCCTAAAAATCATTAAGAAATAATTCAATGTCTCAGCATTTTTTGGCATTCTTACGCGCTGCTCACACAGAAGGTTGGAAAAAATTATGTAGGAATATGAAATAAGGCAAAAATAATGTAAATTGGCTGAAATTGTCTTGGAAATAAAAGAAATGGCGTCAAGTAGGTTGACTCCGCAGTTCTTACGCAACACCGTCATTAGTAGTACGAGTGTAGAACAATCAAGTAGACCGTTACGCCGGCGCTGAGCCCAGATAGCAGAAGGAAACAGGTGTCGAAAACATTTCTCTTTCATCATAAGTTTTAAAGACAAATATTCAAATATATGATGTGTATGGCTAATACGTACATAGAATTACCAGGTTTTGGGGCGTCTAAACCATCAAAAAATAGAGATATACAACCTCTCATCCTCTAAGTTTTACCTCTAAAATTCTTTTCAAAAGTTTTCAGAAGCCTCTGAAACGTCAAAAAAGAGCGTTTGATCAATCGTTATTCTCGACTTTGGTCTTTTTCTTCGCCGCCATTGGGTCGATCTTAAAATACTACAAGGAATTTTCGTCTTTGTCATAGCAGTAGTAACCTTGTGTTAAAATCACATCTAAACCGGAGCACCGCTTTCTGAGTTATACACGGTGTAAACGTTATGATAGTCATTATTGAAATGGCTAATAGGGGGAGTCAAAACAAGTCAAAAGTTCATATGTCCCATGGTCCAAAAGTCAATAGATTTTTGTCTAAATGGCTTTATAGTTTACAACTTTAAGTACTTTATATCGACCACAATCACCACAATCGTACAAATTTTTATAATCTAATCTAAAACGTTTTTAAAGTGGGTAATTAACAAATAAATGGCATTAAGTTTTTCTAGGTTAAGCCAAAATTTGTAGTCAGTAAGTAAGTTTCATTAAATTAAATATTTAAAACACACATGACAGCAGCGCGTCGGTCATTCATCACTCTTATCGAACCGAAAATCGATCGCAAACGGTAACAGTGGTTAGTTATTGGTCGCGTACGTCGTCGTGTTTATTTACAATGTTCTCGAATCAAGAGTTCGCCGACATGTTGTTAGTTTACGGTGAAGCTCGTCAGAATTCAAATCTTGCAGCTCAAATTTATCGCGGCAGATTTCGCCAACGGGTGCACCCAGACAGAAGGACATTTGTGCAGGTATACCAAAGACTTCGAGATACAGGAAGTGTTCAGCACACTAATATTCGCACTCGTGAAAGACAGGTTACTGTAGAGCAGAAGGAACAAATTTTAAATATCGTGGAAATCAATGCAGGTATCAGCACTCGGGAATTAGGCCGCCGCGTAGGACTATCGCATACTATAGTCCACAGAATCCTAAGGGAAAATTTACTTTATCCCTACCATGTACAACGAGTGCAGGCCTTGTTACCAGAAGACTAACATTCTGTCAGTGGTTTTTGCACAAAAACATTGAAAATCCGGATTTTTTTAAAAACACTCTAGCGACGGACGAATGTACTTTTACGCGAGACGGGATATTAAATTTCCATAATACTCACACGTGGGCCCAAGAAAATCCTCATACCATTCGGGAAGCTTATTTCCAACAACGTTACCCCCAAAGTTGTCAGGACAAGGATACCTTAGCTTTATAGCCAATAACCTACCAGAACTTTTGGAACAGACCTTAGACCACATGCCATTACACCGGAGACAGAATTTGTGGTTTCTTCATGACAGGGCACCACCACACATTTTTAGAGGCGTCATTCAATATTTGAATGAACATTATCCAAATCGCTGGATCGGTCGAAATGCTCTTGATCCTCGAAAATGGCCAGCAAGACCTCCTGACCTCAGTCCGATGGATTTCTGGCATTGGGGAGAAGTTAAATGGATGGTTTATGGGGCTGGTCCAATAACAACTGAAGCACAACTTCGCGAAAAAAAATGTAATGTGGCTGAAATAATAAATGCACAACTTCGAGGACCTAGAGTAAAAAGGAACTGGGTTCGTCGTAATGAAGCTTGTGTGGAAAGTGGAGGACGACATTTTGAACACCTTCTTTATATACAAAAAAGTGCAATGTGGGTTTTAAAAAGAAAAACAATGTGTGTATCAAAATTATTGTGTTCCCTATTTATAAGGGGCTTTTTTAATACGTTCAATAAACTTTCACACACCAGGTGAAGCGCTGAGACAGTTAGTGATAAGTCTGTTTTTTTTTAATTGTTTCCATTTTACGAGTATATTATCAAATAAAGAAATAGTGCCTAAGAGCCAAAAATAACAAAATCCATCTTCATTTACACTGCGTTCCGTCGTAATTTGCGTCTGGCATTGCGGCGTTGTCAAATTTTATTTTACTTTAAAGTTGCTTTTCTCTAAAAAAAATGCCGTTTTGACCCCCATGTTATATGAAACTTTTTGCTTCTTTTAACTCTTTCTATCACCCATTTAAATAATGACTTATCATAACGTTTACACCCTGTAAAAAATCCAAGGATTTTCGGACAGACCGACAGACAGACGCAAAGGACGTGGTTTTTCGTTATGTGCATATCATGTAGCATCCAAAAAGGTAATATTTCATTTTCAAAATTTTTCGCGATACTTAGTGTAGTAAGTAAGTAAAATTAAGCTCTGTTATAGGAAAAAATTCATTAAATGGAAAAAATTGATCATACTTGAAAGAATAGTGTCGACAAATGTCCACATCCGAATTTGATTTGATACACATTTTTATGTCCGTTGTATTTTGAATTTCTTTTAAAACATTTAGCTACAAATTCAATATCGATTTTCAAGTGTGCAAGTTTTGTGGTTTATTGCAGCAATTATGTATGTATGGCAGTGTTATATCTAGTAATGTGCAGTAATTCAAAATACGACAAGTGAGCACAAACGCCTATAAAACTTAGAAGGCGGACATTTTTGTGATATGTATTATTTCAACTTAATTTCATTAGTGTTGCGCACTGAAATAAGCTGATCCTGGGACAGCGCCTTATTTTACTTTGCATTTTGGATGAACATCACGAGAGACCATTCCGTCGGTCCTTTTCCTTGGCCCGTTTATAAGTTGGAAAGTATCGCTGGATTTATGATGAAAATTGTAGTTTTTGAAAGTACGAGCCCCTTCCCACTTCAGTTGGCCCACTTCAAGGTTTGTACCAAAATATGCCTTTATAAACTAAGCATGACGAAACTATTTACTTCTAAAACAATTTATTTTCTCAAAAACATTTTATATACACTCTAGTCGTGAAAAAATATGTATTTGAAATCACTTAGACCTATAACTAATAGAACATCTGAACAGATAAACAATGTGCGAATAAATGCGCGAAGTTAACAAAGCAACAATTGAACGATTACCAGTGGGTAACATCACCTTTATTTTTTATTACGGCTGCAATTCTTTGGGGCATAGTGTTAAACAAGTTTTGGCAAAAATTTGGTGTAAAACAATCCCATATTTCTTGAAGCTTTTGTATCAGTTCGGTGATTGTACGAGCAGGATGTTGTCGTAGAACCTTTTTCATCTCGTGCCACAAAGTTTCAATAGGTGATAGATCTGGACTGCTAGAAACCCATTTCAAAAGTGGTACATTATTTTCTTCCATCCATTTTATAGCCTTTTTTGAGGTATGACACGCTGCACCATCTTGCTGAAACAGAAAATATTGGCCGGATGTCAAACATTCTTCCATCACTGGTAAAAGCGATTCTTCTAAAGTTGCCAAATATTTGTCTGTATCCACATTTCCATCAATAAAATGAAGTTTTCCTACTGCGTTTGATGACATACTGCCCCCACAAACTTCGAATGGGGCCTCATCACTCCATTGTATTGCACACCATTGTTGAGGTGTCCATTGTCTATGTTCTTTAGTCCATCTAAACCGATTGTTCTTTTGCAGTGGAGTTAATAGTGGCTTTTCTTTGGCCTATAAACAAGTTGTGCAACTTAGGGTTTACTTTTTTGTATAAGAAAACTTACCTTGCAAGTGCTAAATCCCAGTTTGTGAGCCTCTGTATGAGTTGTGGACCTCGAAATTCTCCTTCCAATAGCGTCACTTCACAGGGCACTTAATTGTAAATAATTAGCACGCCTGTTTTTCACGATTATTCTTCTTAATGCACTTCGGTCGGCATTTGTGATATTACTTTTTTTCACATATCGTGGCTTAATATTAACTGAACCAGTTACGTTATATGTTCTAACAATATTTCTCACACTGTACCGCGATAAGTCTAACAAAGTTGCAATTTCTGAGTTTGATTTTCCAGAATTAAAAAATTTAATTATCAGTAACCGAATTTTCTCACTAATAACCTTTTCTGTACCCATTTTGAAAACCTTAACTACCCAAAACTATTTTAAACGTATTCTGACAGCTGTGATTAATAAAAGCAATTGTCATGGCTTTTATTTTTCACAGCCATCTATGCATTATAGACGTATTTTGCATTGAAATGAAAATAGAATGATATGCTGTAATTGCAACATGTGTTATTTTTATGGTGCAAATTTGATTAGGGAGTGATAAAGTTGGTGTTTTCTACTACATATTATCAAAATATTCATTTTTAATATTTTAAACCTACTGCTAAACCCCTGCTACATTTTTATTATTTGTGTTTGATAAGAAAAAACTAAGATTTCAATAGTTGGACCAACTGAAGTGGGAAGGGGCTCGTAGGTCTAGTGGCGGCGGAGCTATCGACAAAGTAAAAAAAAAATCATTTCAACCTCGTTTGACGGTTTAGAGCTAAGTTCCTCAAAGTGGGCGATGCCGTCGCCTTGTCGGCTCTAGAGTGGTTCCCAAGGGGCGGTAAAGAGCCTAAAGGAAATTGGGGGGCGATGAATTGATATGGGGGGCGACGCAATGGAATTTTTGCCCCCAACTTTCCTATTGTCACAAAGACATCCGCCCTTAGACTCACTAATGCCAACCTCCCCCCCCCCCCCCCTCGCTCTAAAATTATTTATAGAGGCATTTGTTCTCTGAAGTACTGATGCAGCAGACATCTGGAAGTTATCCTGTGGTTTTCGATAATTCTCCATATTTCCCTGGCCAATCTAAACCACATGTGTTGAAAAAGCGTTCTTTACTGTAAACTTTCCTGTCACAGTGGCGACCTTCTTCGGTACAGTGACTTTGGCGATATATTATATTTATCTATCTTCCATTTGCCCTTTTTGCGTGGTGTCATCTTAAAATTTGGAATGATGGCTTCACGCAATCTCAACATGTCACTGGACATTTCAAACCATTATAGTAACAGACTGTATAGAATACGAAAATGGAAAGAAAAAAACGAAATGTCACCTGGAAGACAGATAATTAAAATATATTGTCAAAGTCATTGCACTGAAGAAGGTCACCGCTGTGAACAAAACGTTTATAATAAAGATTTTTTCAACGCATGTAGTTTCGATTGGCCAGAGAAATAGGGGGATTATTGCTATTTATTTCACTCCCAAAATAATCGCATTCAATTTACATTCCTTTTGCCCCAATTTTGAGGTACATATAACTTGCATGTTAGAAATGAAATATAATTTTTTTTTCATTTCAATTCTGTATCCTAATTCATCTGTATATCTTTACGAAGTCCTGGGAGCACAGCTGGCACACTTACCTTGATCCCCCTGTCCACAACACCACCTCACAATTTTCCACCACACATCCAACTCAAAATCACCCGAACGTCTCTATCAATTAAGCGATCGCGGCCGGCGTGGTGCGGCGGGTTTCCCGTCTAGCGGCCTCAGATCTGGTCGGCTTTTTGGCAACTGTACTTACATCGCGGGCTGTGCTTCCTTGGTCGCTAATTGTCCGGTGAACTTTCCGCGGCGTGCTCTCAGAGAAAGGGTGCTTGCTATGCGATGGTTAGTATAAATAGATCCGACTGGTATACGCAAATATTCAACGAACATCGATCTTATTCAATATGATCGGTAATGTGGAAATGATTTAGACCAAGGACGAACATCGATCTTATTCAATATGATCAGTAATGTGGAAATGATTTAGGACAGGGAACGTGCGAAAGTCACACATGGTTCGGGGCAGTTGCAAAGACAGCAAACTAATCGTCGTCTTAAGACGCGTCCACACAGAAGCAACATGAAGCAACATGACTATCGAATTTTGTCGCACTATGTTTCTTGACATTAAAAATGTTGAAGGAAAAGGAAACTTTACTGTCCACACAAATGAAACTTGTCTATGGAGGTTTCTAGTCAGTGAAGCAAATGTCGCAAATATAGGGAAATGAAGTGTCCACACAAAGAAAACTTGTTTCATGTTTTAGTTTAGCCAACATTATCGTCTCTATAGCGTGTGTGTGGTGCGAAAGTTTGAATATTAATTATAAAATAGGGATATGGGATGAAGACGATGCATTAATAGCTGCAGCAGCTTTCGTTATTTTAAGTGGAAAAAAACGTAAGCGCGAAAGGGGATGTTGGGTACGGCCTTCATTATAGGATATATCTCACACGAGAGGTTTGATCGCTGATGATCAGTTGACTTGTGGTGGTCATCTGAAAAATTTTCTCATAATGTTAAGCACTGACTTTGAGATTCTTCTCAACAAAATAGGACCAATTGTTTCAAAACAGGACACAAACTGGAGGCGCGCTATTTCTATGAAAGAACATCTGTTGATTACAATAAGATTTTTGGGAACAGGTGATTCCTACCACTCCATGATGTACCTTTTTAAAACATCAAAACAAGTAATATCTCTTATAATACCAGAAGTATGTGATGGCCTTTGTCAAGTACTGGAGGATCAAGTGAAGGTAAATAAATAAAAACAAACTTAACTTTTACACCTTTATTGTAAATTAACATGCATTTGGTATACAAACAACTTATTAACAACAACAAAAATCATTCTTTTTTAATCTAAATTCCGCAATGCTTGCGAAATAATATCGTTTTCAAAATTTCCATCCATTCTATTGTCGTTCTGTTCTATATTTATGGCATTTGGAAGTGATGGTATTTGATAAGGCAACTGGTATGATGGGGGGAAAGAGCTTTCTGACTCTGCACCATGCAAGGAAGGTGAAGTAATGGGTGTGCATACGGAGGAGCGAACATCAGGTAGCGATGCTTGTGGCCTACTTTGAGAATATTGTGGTGGATAGTCGTATTTTCCCATATTAGCTTCAAACAAAATGTTAGAAATCATATGCTCTACTGTGTTTCTGGCATAATCGGTTTTTAGATTTCTAAGTCAATTGCTAACAAGTTCACCGAAAATCTCTCTCCATTTTATTATGATATATTGTTTTCATTATTGCAAACGCTTCCTGTTGCTCGTCGCCAGCTTTTTTCATATATTTCATCTGTTTTGCGCTTGATGATTTGTTTATTATTTATTTATTTATTTATTTATTTCCAACAGGTGAAACCCAATTACACGAAACGCTGAAAAAAATAACAATTGAAGATACATGGTTCTTGGACTTTAATCTAAATAAGATTGGATGATCTATAGCAGTTAATAATCGATGCACAACTGTCACTGTAAATATCACACGATTCAGTAACACTGTTCATGACGCAGCACATGAGATTAATTGGCGATTTTGTCATAACATTCGTACGGCCAGCTTGACAATAGAATGCCGTTTGTTGTCGACTCCCTAGCCTTGGAACGCGGAAACATATTTTTTCAAGTAAATTTTGACAGTCAATTTTATTGTGAATGAGGCCATACAAAAACGACAAAGCAAATATGTTTCGTCTTGTTGACAGTGAATCCAAATTGAAAAACTCTAATAGGGCACTGTGGTCACAACCTCTTTCTGGATAAGAACCTGTGCATTAAGGTGAAAATACTTTAAAGCTTTACGTTAAATGGCCTCAAGGAACACGACAGAATTTTGGTATATAGGAGACCAGATCAGAGTCGCATACTCCAACTTGCTCCTGACAAAAGTAAAAAATAAAGTCATTAATGTATCAACATTGGAGAAACCCTTCCAGTTTCTGATACAAAAACCAAGTAGTCGAATTTCAGCCGACGAGATATTGAGTATATGCTCAGTAAACGTTAGCTTGGTATCAAAAATGACTCCGAGGTCTCTATAAGAGGTGCATCTGTCTATAACCTTACCATTGATGTTATAATTATCATAAATTAAATAGTTAACTTTTTTGTATAAGTCATAACTTTACATTTCGAAACATTCAGACTGAGACAGTTTCGTGAACACCATGACGAAATTAGAGCTAAGTCATCTTGCAACATGACGCAATCCTCGACTGTCTTGACTGACGTGCAGATTTTAAGGTCATCAGCGAAAAACAAATGGAAATACTTCAGTTCAAAAGACAAGTCATTGATAAATATCAAAAACAATAATGGACCTAGATTTGACCCTTGAAGTACCCCGGACGTGGCCCGATAGTAACTCGACCTATGACCACCATATTCGACAAATAACCGTCTATCCATCAAATATGAATTCATGAGCGACAGCATTGCATCAGTACATACCCACTGTTTTAAGCTTATCCAGAAGTGCATAATGATCAACTTGATCAAACGCCTTCTGAATATCTGTGTAGATGACATCAACTTGTCCCTGACCGTCCAGTACTTCAGAAATGTACTGAGTAATTAGAGCCAAGTTGGTGACCGTAGATCTGCCTCTCATAAACCCATGCTGATTAATAGAGCCTGCACCTCTGACCGAGCAGTAAACCGTTTCATAAGCGATGATCTCAAACAACTTGCTGAAATTGCACAGGATTGCTATTTGGCGATAGTTGGAAATATCAGAGATATCTCCACTTTTGTGAATAGGACATATTTTAGAGGTCTTCCAGATATTTGGATATGTCTCTGATTTTAGAATTAGGTTGAATATGGAAGCCAGCGGTTTCGCTAGTATATGAATGCAATCTTTAACGAAAAAACTTGGAATACCATCACATCCAGACGTCATTTTGTTCTTTAATCTTTTCGAAGCCCTAATTACGTTTTCTTCACTTATATTTTTTAAAGAAATGATATCGGTAGAATTATTTGTTGGAGGAGATGACCCTAGTAGACCAGACGGGATAAAAACTGTTGAAAAGAAGGTAGCAAAACTGTCCACTATATCCTGAGGCGTATCGCAGGCATTGCCGTTAAGCGTCATCCTTGGGGGGATTCTAGATTGCTGTTTTTTGATCTGGGCAAATGACCAGAATTTGCTAGGATCATTGACAATGGCATCCTCAACCGATTGGACGTAAGCGGAGTAGGCAACACTGATCTGGTTCTTAATGAGCTTCCTAAAATTACTGAACTGATCATAAGAAAACTTAGTACCGTCACGTTTCCAGTTCCTTCTTCTTGATATTAAGTATAATTTCACGTGTGAAGCATGGGGGATACGAAAACATTTTATTTTTACATTTAGGGACGTGGACCTCAAAGATGTTATTGATAACTGAATACAAGGCGGTACAAGCGACATCAACATCAACTGCACTGATCACCTCCGTCCACTTAACATCTTGCAAGGCTGTGTACATTTCAGGAAAGTTAGCTTTGCGAAAGTTAAACCGTGGAGAATTAGCAAATGGGAATTTCGTTGGTGATCCGGATGTAATGAATTCCATGATCAGTGAAGGATGATGAACGTCCTCTTTAACAGAAGGTGTATAATCTCTGAGGACTTCTATTTCGATATTTCCTAAAATTAAATTCAGTATTCGACCATTTATATTTGGAATATTATTAAAATTAGTTAAATCCAAAAACGAAATAAAGTTGCTCATTGATTGAGACTTCTGATCATTAACGTCACTGTTGAATGATGCGACATTAAAGTCACCAGCAACAATTATTTTACAATTACTGAATGCATTGTTAAATACTTCCAAAGCTTCAAGGTACTGGCCGAACATGTCCAAATTAATTGAAGGCGGAATATAAATAGAAAAGATAACAAAATGGTCATGGTTAATGATTTTGATTTATGTTCCTGTGTTTTTGATGCACTGTAATGAGAAGCCTTGCTGCTTGCCGAAGAAGGGCCTGCGTGTACAGTACTGGCGTTTGAAGTAACTTGTATGGATGTAGGTGAAGAAACTGGTTTTTCCTAGTGTTCATCAGTATCTTGAACAATCTCGTTGGATACCCCAGAATTCCTATCCAGCTCTATTTCTTGCGAAGCGTCATCGATGTCACTACCAATTTCATCACAAATATGTATTCGTTTCCTGTAAAGAAAAAAGAAAACACTTTGAGCAAATGTGTCGGATTATTTCAATTTTATGACCTAATTTTTTCCTAGCTTTAAAATTGACCAACTATTTGAACAATTTCTTTCTTTAGGGAAGTCAGCCCACTTTTATCATTTTTGTTACAGTTACCAAGAAATGAAGAAGAGTGGAGATCTATATCTAATGAATTTTACTCTCGATGGAATTTTCTACAATGCGTCGGAGTAATGGATGGAAAACATGTGATGGTTCAAGCTCCACAGAAAAGCGGAAGCGAATTTTTCAACTACAAAGGATTCTTCAACCTTCAAATTACCAAGTTATATATTTCTCTGCTGGATCTCAAGGAAGAATATCAGATGGTGGAGTTTTTGGAGCTACTACTTTTTGGAAAAAATTGATGGAAAATAAATTAAACTTGCCAGAAAGAACACCATTGACTGGACGCCAAGAAGCAGTACCTTATGTATTTTTAGGAGACGATGCGTTTCCTTTGACACCCAATATACTAAAACCATACCCTGGGTGCCAAGATAAAGGGTCAGCAAGAAGAATATTCAATTATCGTCTCAGCAGGGCACGCAGAATTTCTGAAAACGTATTTGGAATTTTGTCTGCCAGA